CCTGAATTAACACCTTTAGTTCTTAAGAAGGAAAGAAACTTGGATATAATTTGTTTCACATTCTACAAATGGGGAAATGGAGGCAAGAGAAGAATGGAGACTTGCCAATTGTTGTGTAGCTGGTTTTGAGCCTACTCTTTCTGACTTAGCTCAATGCTGTTTGCTTGTTTTTGTTTGCTTTGCTATAGGATACATGTACTCACTAAAGACAGAGTGAGAAATCACTCCTCCAGGGGGAATAGCCACTCCACAATTCTTTCTTCTCTTAGGATCTTGAGCATGTGTACACATACACTCACATACCTGGTGTGATTTTCACGCCACCAGATCCGGGATTTGAACCATACTGTCAGCTATGTGGGATCCAGCACCTCAACCTCCATAACACCTGCTGGTCCAGTCAACACTCTTTGCTTAATGTGGGGTCGGCTTATAGTTAATTACTTATCTTTGCAAAATTCCAGAAAAAGCAAAGTGCCAAAAATTTATTTCCTAATAGAAATGTTTAATGTCTTCATTTATCTTAGCTAATGCAACTAGGTTCAGTTACTACAATTTTTCAGGAAATGAATAATGTGCTGCCTGATATTTCTACGTGTAACCCTATTTTTCCTTTACTCTGCCTTTGTTTTGGATGTGCCCACTTTTGCAACAACTCTTCCTGTTAGTCTTGAGTAGTTCGACTTCCATCAGCCTCCCAAAGCTTGTTGCCCATCCTTTTGTGTCTTCTCAGTCTTCTACTACCCTTGAAAGGTAACAGGGGTCTTGGGCTCTGAGCATTATTGATGGCCAGTTGGCATTGATCAACCCTTATTAATTTCAGTGCATATTACTTCATAGTGACTTTTTCCTGAAGGAAAGTGGGCTTAACAAAATGGGGAATGGAACTGCTAAATTTTTAGAGGGTCTGGAGGGTGGTTGGAGAGAAGAAGGGAAATGGAATATAGAAGAGAGAGATGAGATAGGAAAGCAAGCCTGGGTAGACGCTAAACAGCGATGAAACATAACGTGGACCAGCTATCTGTCACAATCTCTTCAGATCCTCTCTTCCCATTTTTTTCCTTAAGTCCACTTTAAATTTTTGTTTCCAACATTCCCCAAAAAGCTTTGGCCAATGTTGCCAGTGACCTCATACTGCTGAGTTCAGTAGTCAATTCCCAGTCCTACTTTTTGTTGGCTTCAGAGGTATTTGACATAGTTGATCACTGTTTCTTGAAACTTTTTTTTCCCTCTGGTTTCTGGAAGACCACTCTCTCTTGGAGGTACTGAATAGCCTTTTCATCTGTCTTCTTTGCAAACTCCTTTTTATCTTCCCAGTGTCACTAAACATGAAAATGCCTAGGGTCCTCTCCATCTATGCTCACTCCCTTGGTGACCTCATCTAGCCTTGTTGTGCTTCTTCTTGTTGTTGTATATTTGTTTTTAAATTTTTGGCAGAGGGCTCATGCATGCTCCAGAGAGAGACAAAGAGGGAAAGTGAGAAAGCACTCCCCATAGGGAATAGTCATGCTATGATCCTTTCTCCTTCATCTCTTCCTCCTCTTGGGATTTTGGATACATGCACACATATGCCTGGCATGTTTTTCGAGCCAACAGGTCAGGACTGGAACCACACTGTCAGCCATGTAGGATCCAGCCCTCGTAACCACCACACCACAGGCTGGCTCATCTCATAGTTCGAAGTGCCATTTATAGGGGCCTTACAGTGACACAGTGGTAAATCATGACACTGCATAGCTGACTCACATGGGAAGGTGTGTATCTGGAAATTTGCCAGGTACGTGCAAACCCATGACCCAGGACCGGCCGAAGCTGGGAGTTGATAATGGCATCATGACCCTGGTGGGGGCACTGTCTCTTCTCTCATTTGCTCCTGGATGAAGTAAACCAGCTTTAAAATAGGTAAGTATCATTTACACATAATTACTCCGAAACCTTTCTATTCAGTTCAAACTTCACCTCTGAACTCAGCTGCAGCAGAAGTGCTCTGAGAGTCAGGGGCCGTGAGCTAGGAATCAGGATATGCTGGTGAGTGAAGGTGGTGGTGCTGGTAACAAAATTCTTGCTTTGCTATTAACATATCGAATATTCTTGGCCATATAAGTCACTTCTTAGGGTTTAAGTGTTCCACTTTGTAGAATGAGGCATTGGACCTGGACCTGGTCATTATCTCCTGAAATATGTCTTAAAACAGAAATCTTGAGAAGAATGGGGTCTAGTGATCAAGTGAGCTACCAAGCTCTGTTTCCTGGATCACTACAGGGGCCTCGTCCTGGGTCTTCCTGCTTCTGCCCTTGCCTTTAGCACAGTGGAGCCTTCTCTTGGCAGCCAGCATGATTTTCAAAGACATGTCTCCACCCAAAGGCCTCCTGTGGCTCCCAGTGGGCCCAGAGTAAAAGCTAAAATCCTTATAGTGACTCACAGACTCCACATGACTCTGCTGTCAGCATCTCTGGCAGCATCACTTCTGCGGCCAACTGGGTCTCCTCACTGTTGCTGGATGTGTCAGGAGTGCTCCCACTTGAGGGCCTATGCACGGCTGTTCTGCCTTGAATGTTTCTTCTCCAGACATAGCAGGGCTGTTTCTTCATTTCCTACAAGTATCTGTTCAAATGTCACTTTATCAGGGATGAACGTACATCACCTTCCTTAGCTGCATTTGTTTTTCTCTCCAGAATTGTGTCTTTTCCTATTGACTGCTTGACTTTCCTCAGTAGAATGCAGGGGTTTATCTTTGCTTATTTCTATATCCCTGGCCAAGAATAATATAGACACAGATGGCCTTCCTTAATGTTTTGATAACGGAATAAATGAATGAAATAAGGATATGAACAGATGGAGAAGAGGAAGGGAAGACATTAGGAACCACACTCTACATATGCCTGAGTGCCTTACCTCCCACAGGTAAGAATACTGTCTCTCCCTCAGTGGCGTGATTGCTGTGATTTAGCACCTGTGATTGCTCTTCCTTCTCGTACCTGCCCTGGGAGGTAGATATTCTTTTGTTATTGTTGTTTTAAAATTTTGCTATAGGGCACGTGTGTGTGTCAGACAGAAAGAGAGAGAGAGAGAGAGAGAGAGAGAGAGAGAGAGAGAGAGAGAGAGAGAGAGAGAGAGAGAGAGAGAGAGAGAGAGAGAGAGAGAGAGAGAGAGAGAGAGAGAGAGAGAGAGAGAGAGAGAGAGAGAGAGAGAGAGAGAGAGAGAGAGAGAGAGAGAGAGAGAGAGAGAGAGAGAGAGAGAGAGAGAGAGAGAGAGAGAGAGAGAGAGAGAGAGAGAGAGAGAGAGAGAGAGAGAGAGAGAGAGAGAGAGAGAGAGAGAGAGAGAGAGAGAGAGAGAGAGAGAGAGAGAGAGAGAGAGAGAGAGAGAGAGAGAGAGAGAGAGAGAGAGAGAGAGAGAGAGAGAGAGAGAGAGAGAGAGAGAGAGAGAGAGAGAGAGAGAGAGAGAGAGAGAGAGAGAGAGAGAGAGAGAGAGAGAGAGAGAGAGAGAGAGAGAGAGAGAGAGAGAGAGAGAGAGAGAGAGAGAGAGAGAGAGAGAGAGAGAGAGAGAGAGAGAGAGAGAGAGAGAGAGAGAGAGAGAGAGAGAGAGAGAGAGAGAGAGAGAGAGAGAGAGAGAGAGAGAGAGAGAGAGAGAGAGAGAGAGAGAGAGAGAGAGAGAGAGAGAGAGAGAGAGAGAGAGAGAGAGAGAGAGAGAGAGAGAGAGAGAGAGAGAGAGAGAGAGAGAGAGAGAGAGAGAGAGAGAGAGAGAGAGAGAGAGAGAGAGAGAGAGAGAGAGAGAGAGAGAGAGAGAGAGAGAGAGAGAGAGAGAGAGAGAGAGAGAGAGAGAGAGAGAGAGAGAGAGAGAGAGAGAGAGAGAGAGAGAGAGAGAGAGAGAGAGAGAGAGAGAGAGAGAGAGAGAGAGAGAGAGAGAGAGAGAGAGAGAGAGAGAGAGAGAGAGAGAGAGAGAGAGAGAGAGAGAGAGAGAGAGAGAGAGAGAGAGAGAGAGAGAGAGAGAGAGAGAGAGAGAGAGAGAGAGAGAGAGAGAGAGAGAGAGAGAGAGAGAGAGAGAGAGAGAGAGAGAGAGAGAGAGAGAGAGAGAGAGAGAGAGAGAGAGAGAGAGAGAGAGAGAGAGAGAGAGAGAGAGAGAGAGAGAGAGAGAGAGAGAGAGAGAGAGAGAGAGAGAGAGAGAGAGAGAGAGAGAGAGAGAGAGAGAGAGAGAGAGAGAGAGAGAGAGAGAGAGAGAGAGAGAGAGAGAGAGAGAGAGAGAGAGAGAGAGAGAGAGAGAGAGAGAGAGAGAGAGAGAGAGGAGAGAGAAAGTGAGAAAAAAACCTTACAGGGGGGATGGCTACACCACAATCCCTTCTCCATTCTCTTGAGATTTTGGGGGGCAAACACAATGTGTTTTTCAAGCTGCTGGGTTCAGGACTCAAACCTTGTGGTCAGCTGTGTGGGATCCAATGCCTTAGCCACCACCTGCTGGCCCCAAGATAGGCTTTATTTATTTTTTAAAATTTTTATTAAAATATCTTTTTTTTTAGTTTTTATTTTTTTGAGAGAGGTTTTTGCTATAGGGCACATGTGCTCGCCAGACAGACAGAGACAGAGAGACAGAAAGCGAGAAATCACCCCCCAGGGGGGATGGCCACGCTGCAATCCCTTCTCCTCCGTTCTCCTCTCGGGATCTTGGGCACGCACGCACACGCGCCTGGTGTGAGTTTTAAGCCACCGGGTCCGGGACATGAACCGTGGTCGACTACATGGGAGTCCAGTGACATAACCATTACGCTAACTGCTAGTCCCAATTTTTATTAAAGCATCTTATCACAAAGATGGAAACATATTAGACACATACAGCCATTGTCTTTTGCAGTCAAGTTAAAATAAATATTTCTCCTGTTTTCATAGCTGAAAACTATGAATCTTACACTCAACTCGTTGACCCTGAATGTTTAATTCATTCTTCCTCAAAAGATCCAAGGCAGCAAATAACCAGAATGCAAACAGTTATATAAAGAAAGTGCAAAGGAAATTATGGAATAATTTATAAATATGCATGTCATTCTTGTGTAGGGACCACATTAACTTTCTCTGCATTGTTCTAATTTTAGTATATGTACTATTGGAGCAAACACCTGAGGTAGGAATTCTTTTTCTTTTCTTTTCTTTTCTTTTTAAACATTTTAAAAATTTCATTTTTTCTTTTACACCAAGGTAGGAATTCTTATTCCAGCATCCTTTGGGGAAGGAGACTGAGGGTCAGTAAGGTGGTGATCTTCTTAAGGTCACATACTATCAAGATTTGCACCTGTTTTTCTCTAAGTCAAGTTCCCTTTTCAATTTCCCATGCTCCCTTTCCTATTTGATTGTTTAAATTCCAATCCTGGCTTTTTCAGTAGGCTGGTGAGGATAGAGTAGGTGGAGAACCCTAGATCCTGTCACCAAAGCCTTACACTGGACCAAAGGACAGATTCACCCTGTGGTCTTCACAGCTGCATTGTAACAGGTTGCAGCCTTCACAAATATTTCCTTAATAGTAAGTGGGAGAGAGGGCAGAGATCAGGCACAAAAATAGCCAGGGTGTGGCCTCTCTCTAGTTCATTCCCTTTTAGACCTTAGATTCCACCTTCCACAGCAACTACCTTGCCCAGAGAACTGGTCTGGCACTCGGGCACTTGCCTGAGCCAGCAGCTCAAATCTAGCAGGTACTCAATGCTAGCTTAACTGCTCTAACCTCCTCCATCTGAAAAGTAGGAATAATAGTATTGCCTTTACCAGCTTGTTATGAGGAAGATAGTCCCAGTATACAACAGCTCTTAGAGTTATTCCTTCTGCTTCCAGCCTGCCTGCCTGAGAAGGGTTCCATCTTAATACTATCCTGCTCCTACTCTGAATCACTGACTTCCAGACAAGAACAGGAGAGTCAGTTGCACACCAAGAGCTCTTCCATGAGGCATGGCTTTGCCCTGCTGTCCTTGGGATTGATCCTGATTTCATAAATAACAGAAGCAGCAACATGCAAAGAGTAGGGCTTCAGTATCGGGCAGTTTCTAAGTTTGGGAGGTAGAAGGAATTGAGTTCACTGGAAGAAGATAGGCTGGAGGGAATACAACATGTGCATTCAATGTTGGACTTGTATCTGTGGGTGTCAGCTGCAGCTCTCATGGACAGGTCTAAGGGCCATTGGAAAGGCAGATCTGACTCTGGGAGAAAGGTCATGATTGGTGGTCAAGGATGTTTCTCCATATAAAATGGCTGAAGCTCATCAATTAGATGCCCAGAGGAAGCACAGAACAGGAAGAGAAAAAGTCCAATGACAGAACCTTGGAAAGCACAATTGCGGTTGAGCAGGTGCAGGCCTGACAGGCAGGAGGCTCATACTGAACTCAAATCCTGTCCTTGCAGCCCTTGTAGAGCTGCCACAGGCACACATTATTCTTATCTAAAGTACACAGACCCAAGTGATAAAGAGAGAATCAAGGCATGAGGTCCAGAGAGGCTCCATGATGGAGGGTGTTTGAATTAGACTTTAAACCATGAGTGGAATGTATTGGTTGTCAGAAAAATCATGACAGGGACCAGTAGTTAGTATAATGGATATGTCGCTGAACTCCCATGCACTAAGCTGCTGTTTGGGTCCTGGACCCGGTGGCTTAAACTCATGCCAGGTGCGTGTGTGTGCATGCCCAAGACCCTGAGAAGAGAATGGAGGAGGAGGGGTTGCAGTGTGGCCATCCCCCCTGGGGGGTGATTTCTCGCTTTCTATCTCTCTGTCTCTCTCTGTCTTTCTGGTGAATGCACACGCCCTATAGCAAAAACTTCTCCAAAAAAAAAAGAAAAGAAAAGAAAAAAAGAGAAGTCATGACATAAAATTTTCTCTATGCAGAAATGCATAGACTTGTCTAACAACCCAATAGACTGAAGGGATGGTGAGAAGATGAGACAGTATTCACAAAGGCAAGGGAGCAGGAAAATTCAGGAGGTTTGGGAAATGGCAAGAAGTTGGTTTTATCTGATTGGAAGTACTCATAAAATAATGCAGAATTGGATCAAAATTCATAAACGTTTAAAAAATGTATGGGTCATGGATTGAAGTTTACGGAGACTTTGAGATGTATACAATTATCATGGAAACTGAGATGGATTTAGTGTGCAGGACATTTAGAGAAAGTACCTGAAAGAAGTATCTGTGAAAGAGAAAGGAAGGTGGCAGAATTGGACATAGCAGAATTTGAGGGATTAAGTCACAGCAAAGACTTCAAGTAACTTCCTAGGGAGTGCTGGACCTTGGACAGCCCTTCAGAGTGGTTTAACTGCTAGGGGGAGTATAGTGGGTTGAATAATGGCCTTAAAAAGATGTGTCCTATCCTAATCCTCAGTGCTTGTGCATGTGACCTTGTTTGGAAATAGGATCTTTGTAAATGTCATTAAATGAAGGCTCTCATGATAAGGTCATCCTGCATTTAGAGGGAGCCCTAAATCCAATGGCTGGTGTCCTCCCAAAAGAAAGGAGAGACATGACACTGAGACATGCAGGGGAGAAGGCCAGACAGAGAAAGAGGCAGAGATTGGAGTTATGCAACTGCAAGCCAAGGAACACCAGAGATGTCCTGCAGCCACCAGAATTCATAGAGAGGCCTAGGATTGACTGCCTCAGAGTTTTCAGAGGAACCAACCTGCTAACACAGTGATTTCAGGCTTCCAGTCTCACAACAGCAAGAGAATATATTTCTGTTGTTTTAAGCCACAGTTTGCTATGGTAGCTCTAGGAAACTGGTACAGGGAGCCAGGTCTCTTACTATGTGTGTGTATGTATGTGTATATATATATATATATATATACAATCAGTCACTGGATGTGAACAGGCCTAGAAGGAAGAATGACCTTGGGGCAGCCAGTTTCTTTAGCTGAAGCAGTCTCCAAAGAGGATTGACAACTGAGGGCCCTTGTCTGGCAACACTGAGCTGCTGAGGAATATGAGAATCGTATATTCTTCATTCCTTAAGGGAGTCTAGGCAGCACGTTGGCATAGCTACTGCACTGGTCCTCAGTTTTCCCATCTAACAATGGGAATAACAATAAGACCTGGCTCATAAGGTTATTAGGAGGTTAACTAGAGTGATGAAACCAAGAGCTAACACTTGTTGAGCACCTACTGTGCACACGTTAGACATGTAAATACATGACTTCATGCTCATGTGTTGCCCAAAAGAGCTCCTGTTATTGGGGCTTGTGTCCAAGTTTGCAGAGTGGCCAGAGCCAGGACAGAAGCCAGATTTCCTCATGCTTAGATGAATACTGCTTCTATACTAGCTCTCCTTCCCATGTACCTAATCATGTCTTCTTTTCATGATGCCGATAGTATTTTTATACAATGAAACAAAATTTGAGCTTGATAGAAGAAATGTTCTTTTGCCTCATCATCTGAAGGGAAGAGCTTTGAATGTCTGAGATTCATTCACACTCTCTCAGGTAGACCCCATGTGACCAAGATATTAATTTGCAAGGCAGCCTGGGGCTGGAGGGGCTGCTGGACTGGGCACAGCTCCTGCTGCCTACAGCTAATTGGCCTCCCAGGCCCCAGGCCTCCAGTCTGCTGACATGGCAT